CAGCCACTTGTTATTTTCAGCAGCTGCTGACTAGGGGACACCTGGGGCAGAGCAGCTGGGGTGCTGCTGGGTTGGTCCAGTGGCACCCAGAGCGGTGCTACGGGACCAACCGGCAGCGCCCCAGCTGCTGTACCACAGGCGGCCGGAGCAAAGCCGCGGAGCACGGGGGCAGCCTGACAGCCCAGACGCGTCTGGGCTGTCAGCTGGCCGCGCGTTCCGCCGCCGCTTTGCTTCCTCTCCCTGGTCTGCTCGAGACCAGGGAGAGGAAGTGCCCCGTTCGTAACTGCGGATCCGACGTAAGTCGGATCCGCGTAACTCGGGGACTGCCTGTATTGCCAAAAATGAGAGAGAATCATAAACAATAAGCCAGGACACAGTTGGATGGAAGCATCTTATGGTATGGAAATTGCCGTAGGGCCTGATTAAAGTACTGAGCATTTTCAATTCCTATTGCAGTTAATGGGAATTGAAAGTGCTTGACATCTTGGAGAATTATGTTCTTTCTGCCCATCTACAAGCATATAACACTGTGTTGACATTATCAAAATATTAGTAATGCAGACTTTAAAAAAGAAGTCCTTTTCTTTATAGGTGAAAAAAATTAAAACCTGCTGGATAAATGTCAGGGACACATTAACATGTAATGTCTAACTTTACCTTCCTAATACAAGTAGAAGTAAATTGTGCAAACTCTGTAAAGATTTCTAACAGAAAAAGAGATCTGTCTTTTTATAAAGCGTGTATAAAATACTGGAGAGCAAATGTTCTGCGGAAACCATGTCTAAACTTTCAAAGCCTGGTGCATCCCTCATTTGGTGATCACTTGTACTAACAACTGCGGGTTGTACTAAGAGGAGCAGGTTTGCATGAAAATCAAGTTGGTCTGGCGAGACCCCCAACCCTGAGCTTCCCCTCCCGCTTTTTCCCCTTGCTTCCCCCTTCCAGATCCCTCCTCCCAGTTTTCCCCCTCCCCTCTCTCCTGCCTCCTTTCCCCAGTCTCACCAGAGTTTCATTTCCCCTCCACCCACCCCCCGTTTTGTTAAATAAAAAGAGTTTGTGTTTATGAAAATACGTGTATTTTATTTGACATCAGGAAGGGGGGTTAGGGAGGGGTAAGTGGAAGGACATGAAGGAGGAATGAAACACAAGCCGTCAGTGAGGCAGACCAGGGAGGCTGTTAGTGCTCCTCGGGGTGGAAGCTCTCCCGCAGGGCCTCCTGGATCCTGACAGCCCCCCGATGGACCCCCCAGATGGCAGCCTGCAGCAAGTGCAACCAGGCTTTTGCATGTACGTAGTTTAGTCCAGGGTCAACAGAATTTACTCTCACTTCTTTTGGGGACTATAGAGTCCAGGTTAGATTAGTTTATCCATCTCTCTCTCTCTTTAAACCCACTCTACACTGATTGCATATGCAGTTGTTTGCATATTTATGCGTGGTGGGTTGGTAGAGGTTGGCAGAAAACTTATGCTATGATCTGAACAGGCTGCTAGTCTCTCAAACTCATCCAGGAAGTCCCATGCACAGTACTCTGCAATTTGCTGCCTGCACACAGTAAGTTTGCTTTTCAGTAGAGTTAATTTTACATTTCTGTAAATCTAGTAAATTGCCATTTTGAATTTGCCCACTCCAACTATCAAAGAGAAGTTTTTATTTTGTTTTTCCTTTTTAAAATAATCTTTAAAGATGGGATTTGTCAGATTATTTGAAGGTGCTGAATTAATGCAGTTCTTCCTTTGCAAATATTGCAGTCTGATGGACATTAGTATAACTCTGAGAGATGTTGCCCTGCTGGTTTTCATCTCTCTGAGAATGCTAGAACTCAACCATAATCTGATGTCTATAATTCAATTGTATTTTGATACTAGGTTGATGGGGTTAATGTTCAGGATTGCTCCAACCAAGAAGTGGTGGAAGCGTTGCGTCGCACTGGCCATGTGGTGCACCTTACCTTACTTCGACAGAAACCTTCTCCTGCTTCTTTGTCTTCAAGAAGACCATTAGAAAGAGGTAGTTATTTTCCTCCATTTGCAAATGGGTCATTTACATTTTTTCCTACGATTTGTACAGTAAACTTCCGATAATCTGGAAACCTTAGGACCGGTTATCAGATTTGCCGGACTATCCGAAGGAGGGCTATGAGGGGTTTGGGATGGGGTGGCGTTGGGAGGATACCACCCCAGATCCCTCATAGCCCCCCCTTCTGATAGTCCGGCTCTGCCCCAAGCGTCCCTGATTCTGCCGCTGCTGGTCAGTTTCAGCAGCAGCTGAATCGGGGACTCCTGCAGCAGAGCAGCTGGAGGGCTGCCTGGTTGGTCCGGTAGCGCCGACCCTTGGCGTTGCGAGACCAACCCGGCAGCACCCCAGCTGCTCTGTCCCAGGTGTCCCCTGCAAGGCAGCTGGAGTGCTGCTGGGTTGGTCTGGTAGCGCCGACCCTTGGCGCGGCGGGACCAACTCGAAAGCACCCCAGCTGCTCTGCCCCAGGT